GTGTGTGTGTGTGTGTGTATATATATATATATATATATATATATATATATATATGCATGCACACAAAATACACATTCCTAGGAAGGGGGATAGAAAGATACAGCAGAGTAGTGCGGAGATGAGAACTGCTCGCTGTGCTCTTGTTCACTGGTTCACTGTGCTTTCAGTGTGTGAAGGAACTTTGCCTGCTGCTGCTTGGCCAGTCCCTCCTGCTCCCATGCCTGAAACTTCTCCTCGAGAGCCAGGATGAGGAGCTGCACGCTCTGGCACTGGGACAAATCACAGCTGTCGAGAAGGTACGCCCAGTTGGATTTCTGCTTTCTTTACGTTTCAGAGAAATGATGTGCACCTTCATTGCCATAAATAATAGCCAGGATTAACGTAAAGTTACTTGACAAGATTCTCGGACCACAATAGCTGTTTCTGTGCTGTCCAAGCTGTATAAATGTATTTACTCCAAAACATTTACTGAGTTCTTCCATGAAGCACACTCTCTAGGTGCTGAAAACGCGAATCCACGTAACAAGACAGCCTTTAAGAAGCAGAGTGCTAGTGTATTTAAGGAAAACAAAGCAGCCTCGGCCTAGTGGACTAGTCATTTTGCCACTTGAAATCTGGGTCCAGGGAACTCCCAAGCATCAAGTCGGTTTTCCATTCCTGGGTGTATGTCCTTGGTTATTTACTAATTAGAAGGAGGACATGGTTTTAAGTAGTGTTCACTGGCACCGTCTGGAAACCGCAAGCTCTTACTTCCTCTGTCAACCTAAACCAGCACTGAAGTGGCTTCTCGACTTGAGGAATGATGTTCTAAAGTCAGGTATTGCGACTTCTCCCTCAAGGCTGGTTGTCTTGTTACTATGATTAAGGGAGAAACTTTCTCTTCCCTTTTAAAATTTTACACTTTAGGATTAGATAGCTTGGGGTTGCATTTTAATGAACTCGTGTTGTATGGTCCTTACTGAAGCCCTTTTTATGGAGGGATTTTATTTCTGCATTTGAATTAGGCGTGTATCTATGTGAGTATATGTACACACACAGACATGCACATATATAGAGTTTTACATTTTATGTATAATGTATATTTGTATACAAATATGCACACATTTTTACATTTTTTACAGAAAATTGTGACAGGATGTTTTCTAGGATCAAAGAGAGAAGGAGAATCCTAGAGCAGATGTGTATGCTTACCGTACAAGACAGTGAACAGGTTAATGAAAGACGTCCTTGATTTCGTTAATAACGAAGGACAGAAAGTCCTGTAAATGGTTACAGAAAGTAGAATATAATTGTGTTTTGAAACAGTTATTATGAATAAAATGAGGAAAATCTAATGCCTTTATTTATTTAGATGCATTTTCAACATAATGTAAGAGCTTCTGCAAAGATTTCCTAATACTCATTATGATCACTGATAAGCCTACCAGGGCCCCTTTGGAAATGGGACTGGTAAACCGGGGTGTGAGGAGACTTGACTCTTAGGAACCCACTTTGCTATTTATGCTGAATAAAAGTTGTAGAACTTTGGGAATTTATAGGAAACAGAATTATAGTGAGATTTTTACCTGCCCTATTGTTTTCTTGTAAATATAAGAAATCAGGAACAAAAGGAAACTGAAGAAAATGAGTCTGCATATTTTCAGTGCACTTCCGTTCCTCCCCACCATGTGTGTTAGCGAATGCGCTTAGGCAGTCTCACTGAAATTCGCCGTGGGCTTCTTTGAGAATAAAACAGTGATGTATTATACATGGCCTTTCTGTATTCATCTTGTATAGGACTCTCTCAATTCACTCCTGAATTCCATAGGCAAGATCAGGTTTCATTTAAAAGATTTTTAATCTCAAATGCATATGTCAGAACTGTAGCTAGAATGGGGCCTCTTTACTTACTAAGGAATCTTGCTACCCACACCCTGCCAACACACAGACACGCACACACACACAATCAAAATAAGAAACTAAAACACTGAAACACCCAAGCTTTTTTTTGAGAGTTTTTTTGCTATAGGGTATGTGTACCTGCCAGTGAGACAGAGACAGAGAAGCAGGAAGCAAGAAATCACTCCTCAGGGGGGATGGCCACTCCACGGTCCCTTCTCTTCCACTCTCGTCTCAGGATTTTGGCCACTCACACACACTTACCTGGCATGAGTTTCAAGCTTTGGGTCTGGTACTCAAACCATGGTTGACTACATGGGAGTCCGGCAAGGTGAACATTAGGCCATCTGCTCATCCCAGCCCACTTGCTTTTAAATAGCACTAATTTTACCTGCATGTTTGATGTGCTATTGTACCTTGTACTAAGACTCAAAATTGCTCTGCAGACTGTGAGTAGTTTACCTGTGGTTGGGATGCCAGCACACAAAATCTTCCGTGCTGTTCAGATGAAAACTCAAAGCTGCAGGTATAAATTGCTGAGTGGCATCACTTACGGTTGAGAGCCTGACTAAGAATTTTGCAATGAGGCTGACCCGTGACTTCTCTATGCTAGTGTAAGTCAAGTGTTCACATTAGTCTCACCTGCCCGTGCCATTAAAATGTGCTCTGTGAAAAATGCTGCATGACTTCAGAACTTTTGCACCTTCAAAGAGCTAAGTTTTGGTGAGCTTTCCATTTCTTAAGTATCTTTTAACTTTTTATTTGGAAATAATTTTAAGTTCAGGTATAGTTATAAGAAATAATACAGAAGATCTCTTATGCCCTTCACCCAGTTCCCCCAGTGGTAACACATCGGACACAACTGTAGTATAAAATGATAACCAGGACATTGAGACAGCCTTTCCAGCCTTACTCAGACTTCACCAGTTTTCCGGGTATTTGTTTGTGTGTGTGTGTCTAGTTCTGTTGATACTGTCTCTTTAGAGTCACGTGGCCACCACCCAGAGTCAGGACACAGGACACATCAGTAGGGTCCCTTTGTAGCCGCAGCCACCTCCTGCCCACCTACCAGGCAACCCCTGGCAGCTACTGATCTGTTCTCCAGCTCTATAATTCCCTCATTTCAAGAATGCTTATATATATGAGGTGACTATAATTCAACGTTGTCCTCCCCAAATCATTCATGGGTCATGTTACACTTTCCTGAGGGAAAAGTTTCAGTGGGTTTCTTTGCAGGACTCCTATCTATTTAAAAACCATCCGTAGTCCTAAGTGACAACTATAAACCTTTTTATTTTTGTTGTTGTTTTTTGTTTGTTTGCTTTTTGCTACTTACTCTGTTCATTAGTAGAGGGCTTAAGTTCATTGATCATTTCAGTTTTCTTCTTGCTGGTTGTTGACAGTAGTTCTTGGGGTTTTTATAGTTTGTTTTTGTTTTTGTTTTTGACAGTAATTACTGTTTGTTTTTATAATTAATTAATTTTTTTACTAAGATTTGAGGTTTTTAAATTATTTTTTATTGTTTACATTCAATTACTGTATATCATTACACCCTACAACATGAATTTTCCCAGCATGCATACACTATTAATTACATTAAGAGAAAAAACATCCTGCAAAGAGACTCTTCTGATAGGCAGTTGCTCCTGCCTGGTGTGTGCGTCCAAGGGGCAAGCACACCCCCTCGCTTGCTGAGAGCAAGTATTGCTTTGTTATTCAGTGCAAGTTACTGACAGCTTTTACAGGTGTTTACATTCTAAAAGGATGATGCTGAGTGCTGATGCCAGAGAAGTGTACCAACTTCTCCCCAATAGCAGTACTCACTTCTTCTCTAAGCCTTTCTAAAGCTGCAAGCCTCTGGTGGTTAGCATGTAACCTTTGATAAATGGCCAACAGCCTCTTTCCTGAGCCAGGAATGGAAAGTCCTTTTCTGAGATTATGTGTTGATGGATTATTGATGCCCTGTATAATGTAGCCCACTGGATTACGCTCTGCATCAGTTTCAATAGGATTGAGAGCTCACTTTCAAAATCTTACTCTCCCCAAAGAGTACCATTCTGGTATGTTCAAATCTTGTCTCTGGGATATTTTCTACTCAGGTAGAGGTCTCTTGACCCATTTCATCTGAGCAAACAGAGACATATTTATAGTAGCTCTGTACACTGAAAATGCTCCCTTTTCATGAGCACAGATTTGCAATGGCTTCTGCTCTTTGTTGCCTCCTCTTCTTTGGTCCTGCTTAACACCTCTACTCTCACCCTACGGTCCCAGGCTGCTGTGCCTATTAAAGGAGTAATTCATGGGGCTTCCAAACCAGTGTTTAAGACCTTTAGCACCCAATTAAGACTTTCTTCCTGTGGCTAATAACTACCATCTTTCAAGTCCCATCTCTTTGCTTAGTATTGTAATGGACTCATTCTCACTTCATCTTCTTCATACTCACAGGAGAAGATATCATTCTGGCCTTACAGACAAAAACACTGAGATTCAGCTGTCATGCAGATAGTAAGCAACCAGAGCTAAAGTTAAGCCCCAGACACAATGCTGAGAGTTCATACTCAGTGTTTCCTTTCCTGTAACTAGGAGGACTGTGTTACACTGGAACAGGGGTGTCTACTGAGAAACGAAATTGTCGAGAGCGTTGTGAAGCATGTAATATTACCACTCAGGAAGACCAGAATGTGCTAGTGCAACTGGCCCTTTTTGAGCCCACTCGCTCACTCAGGCTTGGCCGAGGCAGCTGTCATCTCATGGGGGCTCTGTGCCACAGTGGCTAGAGCTCCTGGCAGGGAGCACCTCCTAAACAAAGCCTCACCCCATGTTCCAGACAAGCCTGAGCATGTTAACCTTAGTCCTGCACGTGGGTTGCTCAGAATTAGCCCTTCTTCCAGTGGCCCTCCTTCACGCATTCCTCTCCCCTCCACTCTTGCCATGGAGCCACCAGAAGCTGCCAGCATTGTGTGTAACGACCAGCATCCAGGTGGGAGGAAGAATCTTCAAGATTCTCAGAAGAGCACTTATGGATTGGCATAGTCATACGAAACCCAGAAACCTTTTTCTCTCCACTTTAATTCTGTCCAAGTGTCCAACTAGTGGGGGCCTAGCCACCTCCGAGCTCTGGCTGTTTCCTCAGTACTGCCTCGTCCAGGCTGGACTCAGACTTCCACGCTTTCCTTCTTGCTGCAGAGTACCGTGATAGAGGGAGGTTAGTTTGGATCCTAATCACCTTCTTTGGGGTCTGTAAAGTCCTTCTTTGGTGCTAACCTTCTTGCCCGTTGGTTTTGTTCTAAGCGTATCCAAACCAGTTTAGGCTTAAGTGATCCGAATGATGCAGAGGATCAAGTGAGTGCTTCCAAATATATCGCCCAGATATGGGGTGGTATTAAACTGATCTCTTCACAATCACTATTCTTCGGCC